AGCAGGAATACAGCTCCAAGGCCTCTCTGAGATATTCTTAGAACCTCAACAAAACATATCTTGCCTCCTTTCAATTCAGAGAGTAGCCCTAAACTTGAGTGATTTAGATAGGACAAACTGAAAATTAAGCCCTAGGTCTCATGAACAGATTGCTTAAAGAAAATCCAAGAAAGACAAACAGGTTTTGCCCAGAACACCATTTCACAAATGTCCATAAATACAAATTGCATGGAACTGGGATGAGACTAAGAACATTGATGTCTACGTTCACAAAACTAAAAAGGAAAATGCACAGTATCTGCAAATCAGCCACACGGAAAAGGTTAAATACTTCTTTGTCAGACTCCAAAACCCAAGTCATCAATCCCAAAGAGCAAGTCACTGTGTCATTGCCACTGTCTGGCATCCAGCACGTACTCTGAGGATCAGCACGAAGCAGTTTTGTAAAAGAAACACCAAAGAAACCATATCCTAAGTGCTCAGCCCAAAACTTACTGAAGTAAAGCAAATCTCCATAGCAATAATTTCCAAGAACACAGTTCCACCAGGCAAAAGCTTTTCTTGGGATGAGAAATCCTTTTTTAATAAAACATCATAAAGATCTTCTATTTCTCATGTCCCTGTCATGTTAGCTGTTCAGCAATAATCTTCCACAATTCCTGCAGGAGTGGAAAAAACACATACAGGTATTAGATCAGTAGGCTGCAATTACAAAAAAGTTCAACATGCCCACTTGAAAGCAAATTTTAAGATGCACTTGATATGTCCATCCATAGACAGGATCCATCTGGGGATGGATACTAAATCCATCTATGTAATCTCCTAGAACAACCACCAAATTCTCCTTGAGACAGAGTAAGTGAATTATATTTTCATTCTTGTAAAAACTTTTTTTTTAAGTAAAAAATAGTAATGTTCAAATAATTTGTTTTGAAAATAAATTCACTGGTCTGCATGACCTTCTGCAGTATTTTGACAGATAATCTTGCTCTTTTACTTACTCTATATTGGCAAATGCTTTCAGTAACACTAAAAAAAATACAGCTGAAATGATACCCAATTTACTTAGGAATCAAGGTCTCACAAATGCACGTCTTATACAAACACACTCTTCTCGATCTGCTGGACAATAAAGATGAAAACCAAACCACTTTATTTCTGCTGAATAAATTAGCATATGCTTTGTCTGCTACACAACAGATTCTTAACCAAGTGTCACATGCTCTTCACCAGGACACCTTGAACCATGGTGATACCCTTTGTGCCAAATAAAACATTTAGGCATGTTAAAAATGCACATATTTCAAAGGCCAGCAGCTTTCTGCAAAAAGGCTAGGGAATGACTTCAACAAATAGGTATAATCTATATACTTGCAAAACTTGTTTTAGAATTTTGCATGCATGTTTTATGCCTGAAGGTATCGGCATTAAGTAAAATAAATCCATCTCATGAAGTGACTGCGGCCCCACAACCGTACTACACACACGTACTGCAGAAGACTCAGCAGCAGCACGTTGACCACAGGAACATCACTTCTTGGTAACAGATTTGCAGTATGGTACCAGATTTGCAAGTTCTCCAAAAAGATCTGTTAGACTGCATTGCTTTAGAAGCTAGCAAGCTATCAGCTACCCTGCATTATATTCCTAACACAGCTGGGAAAAAAAATAAAGAGAACCGTCCGTGAGGTAAGCAGGTAACTACAAATACCACATCTGACATGTTTCTGAACAACAGAAGCCTACAGCTAATCGACATTTTCACAGATATTAGAGCATTATTTCCTGAACTGGAAAAGGAATTGCTAAAACTACGAAAGGAAAGCTCTTCTACAAGCAAATACATGAGAAGAGATGTTAGTCTCATTTTCTAGTCACTTGCAAAAATTGTATTTTACAAAGTAATGGAGATTGTTTCTTAACCTTTGAGGAAACGAGTGCAACCTAAGGCTCTGCACTGCTTGTGACAGAAAAGGGTACGTTATGTCAATCTAGCATAGACTGCATAAGCACAAACAAGAATCACTTCAAAAGAACAAAAAGCTAAATAAAAATAAGTGAAAAGGTAATGTTTATTCTCCTGTTCTTACTTCATGTGAAGCAAACAGCTGAAGACAATTTGAGATGATTAGCCCAACACATCACATTTCTTTTAACGAACACCACTTACCAACTGCTCAATTCGTTCATAAACGAGAAACTGGCAGAAATCAAGCTTGATGGGCTCCGCAGTATATTTAATTTTTCTATCTCGGAGGTTCTCCAAATCATTTAGAGTATTTCTGAAATGACTGTAGGCTTCACATGTAACATCCATATGTCTTAAAGTGAAGTTCAGCCTGGCAAGAAAATATTTAATTTAAAATGTTCCTCCTGCATCAGCATCTTAAATAGCTAGGGGCCAGTGAGCTCAGTGGGTGAGAGCGTGGTGCTGGTAACACCAAGGTTGCCTGATCTAGCTGAGAGGCGTCCCTGCCCATGACAGGGATGTTGGATTAAATGATCTCTGAGGCCCCTTCCAGCCTAGGCCAGTCTAGGATTCTACGGAACTCTCCTCAGCAAATGGAAAATGTGGGGCTTCTCACTGTAGTTAAAGTTACTAAAAAAGTAACTCTCCTGCTATTTCCGGAAAGCAGGTGAGACCTGTGGTAGCATCGACATGCAGGAACTCTTGGATTAACCTCCCCATCGATTTTCAGGCACTTGCTGCAACAGAATCCTTGGCTTGGCAACAAACCATACAAATAGATACTGCGTATGGATCTCCAGGGATTTAAACAAAGACTCCGTATAGATTAGCTTCTGAATGGACTGCAACACATGACCGCTTAAAAATATTCAAGGATTCATTGAAAGAAAACACAAGAGAAATTTTAAGAGAGATACTCGAGCTGGGAAAGAGACACCCTAATTCTAAGCCTCTTCACTCCACTCTACGACCTCAAAACCATCCAGCAAATGTTGTCAGGCGTTACAGAATACATCAGTCTAGGAACCTACTCATCTGTATTTATATAACAGAGGTTATCCGATCCCAAAGGCAGGACAACAAAGGGCAAACTTTTGTGCAAGTCAATTCTGAACTGATAAAAATTAAGCACATAAAACCAAACACTCATCCTGAGCATATAGAGCCTGCAATTACCTAACACCACGAAAATCAGCAGCTGACATTTAATCAAGTTTCTTCCAAATGAAGAAAGCACATGAAGTTTTCAATGCTTTTTATTTTACGTCCTTGGAAATACCTACCTCTTTTCTAATGCTAGGTAGACTGTGCAGGAATTTCTCAAGTTGTGTGTGATTCTATACAGTGTTCTGAACAAGGCATCGGTCAGGTCATCATCATAGAACACTAAAAAAAAAAGATTAAGAGCATGAAATATGTATTTTTAAGTGTATTATTTACTTAAATCTCAAGTAGTATGAAACCACAGCAGGCTTTAGTTTGATTATTCTCAGAAGAGGTCACTATTCTAACTAAATCCCAAAGTATATTTTTAATGGCAAAAACAGACTCTGTAACAGAATCCGCTTTATGTCAGGCTTTCCTTATGATTTCCTCATACCAATGAGAATCATTTCTGTGAGACAATTTACGAAACTTTTAACAAGATTTCTCTCAGCCTGGAAGTATCTTACTGCAAAGCTAAAAAGAAACAGGATGTCTCAATGTATAAAGCCTCACTTCTTACAAAAATACAAAGCAAGGCAGTAACTAACCATTATAACCACACCTCCTTGGAAAGCACTCTTACAACACCTTTCAATGCCATAACTAAAACCAACCTTCCTTTATTTATATAACAAAACAACAGTGGTTTTCCTATACAGAGAAGCTAGCCTGTCATTTCTGAGTCTTTCAGGTAAGCAGGAGAAAAAGACAGATATCCAAAGGCCCAGGCTCTAGGGGTGAGTGCAGCATCTGAAACTGTTTTAGTTTAACCACCTATTTATCACAATTTGCACAGAAGTTATCTGATGCAAGACAAAGATAGGACAAAACTCTTCTGAAAGTCAAATTCATCACTTAATTGTGATTATGTTCGTTATTTATTTAGTCACTAATAATTACCACACCAAAGGAAAGAAAAAGCTAGTAGTTTTCAACATCTGTTCTCCTATGGCAAATTCAGAATCTAAATACAATTGTTCTAAGTAAAAAAAAAAATAAATAAATTCAGGCAGGGACACTTAAAGCAGAGCCTTGACAAATTAGGTAAAGAACTGACCTATTAGATTTTAAAAGCAAACTAGATATGTTTAAGTTATTACTGAGAAAGCTCAAGTGTTTGATTTAAGAGCTTATTGATAATATTTTCGTACCATCGGCCGCCATTATCACCGTGCAGTGGTCATGCAAATCAGCAATCTCTTCTTCAGACCAGCTATAAGGAGCTTCAGGATCTGTTACCAAGAACATAGTACATAATTAAAGGTCTCAAATGACTGACAGCTCAAAAAAAGCTGGCACGGCAATGACGCACCCAAAGACAACTGTGTACTTTCAAGTATTTTTTCCAGAGGTGTATGTGCTGCAGGACTTACATCATAAACAACGGCACAAGCTTTTCCTGATTGCTCTGCAGGGCAAAGAACAGCAAATCCTGTCTGAAAGGAGCCGTTACAACCACCTACCGGTGCAGAATTCATCTTTCAGCCAGTCCAGTTCTTTTACTTTAACTTCCCCTCCTGTGGGTGAAGAAAGATCACATCAGTCACAAACGGCCTTTCAGACAGTAGCCAGTCAAAATCTGGACTGAAACAAACAATGAAGATCTATTATGAGGACACAGGAAACAAGGAAAGCTGCACATCAAATCATTTGCTGCAGAAAACCAGCTACTCGCTCACAAGAACAGGATGAACTTAGGGAAGAGGCAAGCTATGTTCTCATTTGTGTCTCACCTGCAAAATCCTTGTCCTTCCCAGAGTTCGAGCTCTGTCATTTACACTGTTAATGTGATCCCTGGCACCCAGATTTCTGTGATCCTCCCACGTACTTCAGTGAAACTCACATAACGACAGTGCAGGAACTTACAGCTGGTCTTAAGTGATGACCAGAGAAAGAGTAAATATTTTGCACTTCTCAAAAGATCCATTACCGACCACATCCTTGCATCTCCATTTTTAAACAAGACAAAAACGCTATGTAGTCTGTGACTATCCTGCTTCATCCCAAAGCAGTTTATATCCAGACCATTACACAAACACTGACTGTAAAGCACTTACCTCCCGGCTCCATCAGGTGTTTGTTCAGTGCAATATTTTGCTTACACATAGTTAGAAGATCTTCACCAACATCTGAAAAAAAACGATAGTAACATTCAAAACAGGAATACTTTGCACAGGCTGACCTCTCAGACTGATTCTAGGTTAGTCAGACTGACTCTTGTCAAGCTGACAAGATAAGGAAAATTCAGAGCAACTCTATCCTTTGATGACTGCTTCCCTACTATCCTTTTTTCTTTTTTTTCCGGTACCAAGTTCTGATCTACCCCTGAAGAAAGAAGTTAGATCCCTATACTATCTAGTTTAATCTGGGCACACTACCTTGAGTGCCCAGCAGTGTATCTTGCTTTTACACTGCTGTGCTTAAAAGTAGTGCTACTTTTTCAATCTGTTGAGAAAGTTTTTTGTAACTTTTCAATAAACAACACACCTTTCTACACATTAACAAAAAAATCTAGAGATCAAAAAAAATCTAGAGAGCAAAGCAATGCTTTGTGAAGCTTCATAAAAACATTTCACTGAAAATAACTCCCTTACCTGTGCAATAAACCCTCTTGGCAACTGTTCCCATGATAATGCTTGTAATTCCAGTGCCGCCTCCAAGCTCTAACACCGAGCAACACCTGAACGTGTCCCGTTTAAACAGGATGTAATCGGCAAGAAGAAAGGCTGCGCGCCAGACCTGTGGGTAAGAGAACCAGTTGTAACCAAGTAAATTCTGAAGCACGATCCAAAAAGAGCAAGATACTACAGGGCAGAGCACGTACTTGTTTACCAACATCTTCTAACGGGGTTGCCATAGTGTGTTCTGTGAAAATGAAAGTAGAGCAGAAGCAATTATGTCAAAATGTTGTTCAAATCAGGTTCCAGAGTGGTAGATTTGAAAATCAATACATGCTTCCCTTGCAAATAATAGAACTAAACGCTCTTCATTCTACATAACAATACTAGATAATGCCCCTCTAACTAAGGAGTACCCCATTCCTCACGGTATATTATTGCCCAGACCACTTCTGGAAAAAAAGCGTTTAAAAGTATTTACAGTATCACAGTTATATGTTTATTATCTCATGTCACTTAACAACTGCTGTTCAATTTCTAAAGAAAGCCTATTTTCTTTTGTTTTACACAAACACATTTCTCCCATTTCTCCTTGACTGTATCCCTACTATTTACCTATTTTAACAACATCACTGCAAGCACATTCTCGTTCTTCATCTTCAAAAGCATCTTCTGTCCCTTTCATCAGAATTACAGGACACACTCTCTCCCTCAAAAGATCCTCCGCTTCTAAATCAGAGGCACTTCGAGGTCTTCTGACCACTTCCAAGTCTCCATCACTGTCTAGCAGTGCTTCGACTCCTTCAATATTTGATTCTCTTTCTTTTTTCAGATTATTCCTGTCCTTGTCACACAGTTCATTTCCACTTCGGTCTTGGCGTTCTCCTTCTGTTGTAGCTTCTCTCAGATGTTTCTCAGATGCTGAAACTTCGGTGTTCCGAAGAAGTTTGAAATACGACAGGAATACTGTAAGAACCCAGAGAGGGGGGAGTTAAACAGCAGGTAAGAACAGTCCCGGGGCAACTTCCACGTGCTTGAAATTTTGGTATGTTTTGGTAAACACTTCTCTTGTTATGTTCTGTCAGCAGAAATAAAGGAAGCCCTTTCACAGTCTTCTGGCTGACTCAGTAACTGTATGGTCACAACACACACTTTCATCTGATCTAATAATATTTATTTTAGCAATTGCCAGAGGGCATGGTTTCTTACATCTTCCAAAAAGATCTTCGGTTGAGACTAGCTGAAAGACGAATTAATACAAAACCGAGCCAAAGCAGCAGAGACTAAATTGCCACGAGATTTCCTAAAAACCAGTAATGGAACAAGATTGTTGTCCCATCTCTTAGAGTAAAAGCTGTTGTACTACAATCTAATTCTTGTCTTACAAAAGAAAGGAATTTCCCAGACTGAGTACCTTCAGAGTAGGTAGCACATGCTGTCACTTCATTCTGTTGCAAGGGTCTGGACATCAAGCAAAATCAGAGCAGACAAATGTCAAACAGCATGAAGACACACCACAGCATTACCAGATTTTGACCTGACCGGGGTCAAAATTATCATCCACTTCTTTGTCAAACCTGCTTTTATCACTTTTTACATTGTCATATGCTGGAATAGCTGCAGAAGTTACTCTTTTTATGTCACAACTGGGTTTGAAAAAACAATTAACGCTTCTGTCCCAGTAGGAGCACTCCTGTTCTACAGAACATTTCAGCGTCGGCTCCAAGGTCAGTCTTCCTGACAACTTCATAGACACCCACAGGGTGGCAGCCAGTCAGAGGCTTCTACCAAGTCATTTCTGTTACAGCCTCGACTCTTCAAATTACAGAAGTCACTCAAATCCATTGCTATCCTGAGCCTTCTTGTTGCCATTTTTTTTAAAAACAAAAAACCCAGAAAACCAAACAAAGCTGTTGGGCTCTTCTGGAATAGAGGGTAAATCATCACACATTTTTACAATGAAATAAAATTCATAAATTAATTACTGATAATTTTTATTTTCAGCTGAAGTCACGCTATTTATATCCCGCGGCTTCTCGCACTTTGTTTGTATGCAGAAAACATATCAACTTTTTCCCATGGTTCCCAAAGCGCTCTGTTGAGCTTATAGCTAAATGAACAAAGAGATAAAATGAAACCTGCAAGCAAGTTAATTCGGTTATTGCTTCTCAGAAACCAATTTAAAATTTCTTTTTTAAGACGGGCTGTCTGCAAATTCTCCATTAATAGTTTCCATTTCTGTAGTTAATTTCATGAGGAGAACCCAGCTAGCTCTCTTCCTAAAGACCAAGTAGGAAGTGATTCTGCTCCTAACTGGAATAAAATATCTGAGGATTAACATCAACCATTCCAAGGAGGATTCAAACGTTACAAAGATATGAATATACATAGAATACAGCTCCATCGCTCTAAACATACAGTACCTGGTTGGCCAACTGCATTCAATCGTGCCATGAGATGTCTTTTGTTTGGGCAGTGTAAGTGAACATCGGAAAGTACAGTGTCACTTTTAAAGGTGGGATTATCCATTTCCTTCTCTGTCACATCTACCATGATGTGCCGGCAAGAGGAACTTCTACAGTACCCAAACAGTCCCCTGTGCAGTTCTGTCACAAAGTGGTGTGATGCTCTTCTGTTAACAGGCATCAGGGAACAGTTTTGCTCAGCGAGGTAACCTCCTGACGTAGTTTCTGAGAAGACCTCAGGCCAGATGTGACCGTGCAAGCTCCACCATGCTCCAGTAAGGCAGCAAGTTGCATGTCGGGATATTCAACCTAAAACCAAACACAAGCAGCTTTTAGCGACATCCTGATACTGAACATCGCTCCAGCAATATTTCAGAAGGCAAAAATCGGATTACCCCATCCAATAAGGCTGAAATGCTCCAAGAATTTCTTTTACAATGCTCAAAAAAAAAATCATCAAATAGGTAATCGCTCACTGGCAGACACTGCATATTTTAGGAAGAGTTACTAATTAGCTCGTGTTAGAAACAACCCTCCCTGAAAAAAACAGGTGCTTCCACAAATGCAGACTTACAATGCTAAGTCAAGGTCTCAGAAGGAACATAAGGCCTTGTGTGCACAACTTCACCATTTTAGGGGATATTGCTCCTCACAGGAATCTCTTACCAGAAATGCAAACAATTACTGAACGCATTATCAGAGGTTACTCCCCTGAGTTTTGTAAAAGGAGTATCTGCCCTTTCTGTAGAAAATTCAGCTCCTTTTATACGCCTCCACTAACTGGGCTGTTAATGTCTCCTGTCTTTGGCACTCTTTCTTTCTCCCCATTCCTCCTGCAAAAAAAAAAAAAAAAAAAAAAAAAAACTCCACCTGAAATAATCCTGATTACTTAATGCCCAAAGCTGAGTTCTCTCTCCGTCCTGAGGCAAAAACAAATGAATTACCTCTTAGAAAAAAAGACAGGACACTTCCTTCCCTACGCTCTGAAAAACCTGGCATTTCATGAAGGGTTTGCGAAACATTGATGAACCACAGAGCTGAAAACAATCTGTGTCTTTAAAAACTGCACTGACAAGCTCAGATCACACACACACCCCCCGCACTGAGCACCACGCGTGTGATTCAGTGAGGACACCCAAGCGTGAGCAGCTGGAGCTCCCCCAACACTCCTGATGCAAAAGCTACTGATGCCATTTCCTACATCGGCATTAACACCTTGGAAGCTCAAACTGAATTTTCTATTATCACACACACCAGACCACACGTACAGGACCGGAAACACACGGGCTCAAGG